AACCACAGCCCTGCCCATGGGCCGTCCCAATCTGGATCTATCTGCAGACTGACACTCACTCCCCATCATCAGGGAGGTGCCTGAAGCCCAAGGCTGGGGCCCCTGGCCTGCCCTGCTCCTGCCTGATGAGGATGAGCCTGGGCTGCCAGGCCTTGCTCTGCCACCCCTAGGAACCCAGCACAAGCTGTCATCCCTCGCAATTCCCTGCCAGACATCTTGCATTGTACCTCACAGTTCAACTATAATGAACACATGCTTTTTGCTGCCCACCAAGGCATGATTTTATCCCTGTTGATGAGAACAGATTTTTAGATCTAGTAGTATTAACAGATGTGGCAAGAGTAGACTGCATGCTAGTTTAACTGAACACAGAGCAGCTAAGGGAGGGTTGGTCACCAGAAATGCGGTTCCTCAGATGCGTTTAAGAAGACATTAGACTTCAATAAGGACTGTAGAAACTCTATAATGACCTTTCCAGGTGATACTGAGGCAAGAGAAACCCCATTTCCTAAAGGGGTAAAAAACTGCTATGAAAGAAAGGGAAGTTGCTTTCTTAACCGAAGTGAAACTTTTCAGTATGGGAATTGGTTCACTAGAGCTTTAGGATTTAGCTCAGATCATCCTGAAGTTTCCCAAATATCAATCCTTGATAAATTCCAGACAAAAAAGTCCCTAACAAGGCTTGTTCTCCACAGTTTCTAGTTTTTCTATGAAGCTCTTATGACTTTTCACACAAGCATTTATGGGGAGCAAAGAAACCGGCTGGTTCACTAATACTCTGTCTACTTGTATCCTGTTACTTAGCATTCTGAAGAGAATAGTCCTTTTGGTTTAGGCTTTGGATAAAGCCATCATAACTTTGTCTCCCATTAAATGGTATGTTTGATGGGAAGCTCAGTGAATGTGACCTGTAAGGAAACAGAATAGTGTGTTTCAGTCTTCACAAAGGAAACATTTATAACAATTTATAGCTGAGGCTGCCAGACATGTTCTTCAGAAATGCACTTGAATTACACGTAAAGCCTCAAATACTTTAGGGAAAAGGGGATTTCATCTAAGTGAAAGCTGGCTGTTTAAATGTGTGTATATATATATATATATATATATACATATATATATATGCATGAAAAACAAGCATTAAACCCCAAACGTTTCTTCTTTCCACTCATTGTCAACGAAGGCTGTCCCTAGGCATTGTACATTCCTGGCAATGTAGCAAAGTAGTAACAGAGGACAATCAGTTTAGCTGTGCTTTGCAGGGAGTTCTAGCAAAGTTGTGAGTACTTGTAAGCCCTGCACAGGAGAGAAAAAAAAAAAAAAAACACAAAATGCCAAAAGACCCCCTCTTTCTGTTAGTGGATTCATGTTTTGCCTTGCCATTCTGTCCTTGTTGTATTTGCAGCCATCTTTTTCATCCCACTGAGTTGTCTGGCTGCTGATGAGGTCTTGTTTTCATTTTCAGAAGACACTAGTAAACATAAAATATCTTTACTATATCCTTTTGAACTGGACATCTCTATCCTTGCTTTACAGGAGGGAACATGGACAAAGCTAAATGGATTACTGATTATTAAGTACTACTCACTGTTTCTTGAGTTCTGTATGTGCCAAATGGAAATAATGATACTTTCTTTTCTCTTCTTCTGGTATATTTAAACTTCATGCTTTCCAGAGCAGTATTTGTCTCATTAGCTGTTTGCACAATGCTTAGTGTCATGGCATATTAGTTTTAGATAGAGCCCCTAGGCACTTCCAAACAGCTGCTAAGTTTACCTAAGGATACAAGAGTATGTCAATAACAGACAGAACTTGATTTATTCTACCTGTTGTCTGTGCAAGTTTCCAAAAGGAAGCAGCATAGCTGTACTAAGCCATTAGCATCGCACAGAGTGAATTTCATCAAGTAGAGCAACTTGCTAGCATTCACACGGCTTCCAGGCTTATTTACAGTTTGGTTCATGGGCAGAGTGGGAAGGAGGTGTGTATGTGTGGCTTTATCTGCAAAAGCCCACCCAGTTCTGCCAAAAGATAGGCTGAAGATAAGTTTGTAGCTTTCATTTCAGGCATTATTAGTTAGTAGTTTTCAAAAAGAAACAATAAACGCCATTAATAAAAATAGAAACCCTTCTGGCTTAGTACAAAGAGCACATATACACTGATAGCGTTATATTGGCAACACTGCACTCCATATGCTCATGAGGGTTACAGGGCACATTTCCATGTAAACAGTCAAGACAGCGAACTTCAAATACTCGGAAGAAATGTTTATTTAACAACCTAATACATGCTAAAAGAAATAATTTACAGCAGCAGTTTCATTACATTTTTTTCTCTCCAGTTTTCTAGTTCCCATCTGAATTGAAGTGATAAATACAGAAGTAGAATTATTTACTAACCAGTGCTTAAAGAATAAGCACATATATTTGGCACTGATATAGCAAATAAATCACCACCTTATCGCCTGTGTGGCAAAATCTTGCATTTTAGTATTATGCTGAACACACCAAAATGGAGTACCTCTAGATAACAGTACTTTACACTGTACCTCCTTATCTAGTCAAAAATATTTACATCTCTTTTGGCTAATGTGTAGGTAGCAAAAACTGAACTATTAAACACATACCATTGATATTCACTAAATAATACATAAAAAGGATCAGTAAATGCGCATTCACATGCATTTAATTTAATTTTATTTTTTTACATAGTGACTTTATTGGGTCATGAAGATTTAACTCTGTTCTGCAAAGATGCACATTTTCTCAGTTTGATGTTTTTGTTTAACATAACCATACAGTTTTTAGGAGACATTGAACGAATTCCCATCTTCAGTGATCCATGCAAGTGCAAAGTGTAGATGAGTAAGAATAAGATTCAATGCATTTTTGTTCTTTGCAAATGGGTACCTTAAAACAAATCAAGATAGATCTTTCTGGTTATAAATGAAATCCTTTATTTCTCTCCAGGTTAAACACAACTTTTTAGTTACTTTTTCTAAAATCTGTAACTAGAGGTTTAGAGGGTTACTGACGATTTACAGAAATACCATTTTTATTTTTATCTTCAAACCTTATGCTGCTTTAAACAATAATGACAAAAATGGAGGTATAAATTTTACTGAAGCTGCAGGGCATCTTTCCATATATTAATTCATTAAGGTCTATGTTCTTTGAAAAAAAGTACATTTAATGTCAACATTAAATGCTGTTTTAATTTGACCATAATATGAACCTGAAAAAAAAAATCCACTGCTGGCTTGATCTTCTGCCCTCTTATTTATATAAGCAAATGCAAAGACACAAACAAGACTATTCATGTCAGTGAGGACTGCATTGAAGTTTGTAAGATCTGACCATAACAATTGTCCAGTTAGACTGGCAGGCTATGGTAAAAACATTGCAACTTCTGTAATTTTGTTCCCACAGCTTATCTTTCTCTGTATAGAAAAACACATCTTAGAATCCTGACAATTTAATCTGTTTCTTCGTCAGGGGTAGTGAAAGAGGTTGGGTTTAGTTTGATTTTTTGCAGCAAGTTGCTATAGAACCAGTTGCCATGAGCATGGTAGAGAAAAAAAAAAAAAAAGTTAGATAGCATTTCCATTAACATGTAAAAAAGGAAACAAAGTTATTTAAGGTCTGTTGAAATCAATTCTGTATTTTTCACACTAAATTCTCTGAGGTTCATTTTAAAAATGTTTCCTTTTGTAACAAAGAGGATTCTAATAACTCAGTGATATACAATAGCCCTACACAAAAGGCTAAAGAGTGTTCTGTGATTACAATTAAATTCAGCTGACAACAATGCTTAGATACTAATCATAAGCTGAGCTGGAAAATTAATACTTCTGTACAGGAGAGCACATAGTTGAACCTATGTTTTAATTCACCCTTATTCAGCACATCACGAAAGCACGGGAATTTAACGGCATACTAAAATTCACAGGAGTCAAGTTAAATATAAGAGAGACTTATTGTTGCTTTAAAACTAAATTCCCAAGTGCTTTCTTAAATCATGGCCTTACAGCCTTGTCCTGGTCTCTTCAATGAATTTTTTTGCAAAAACATTAAATGACAAAAATCTTGTAAGTTTACCCCATGCAAAAGATTGAAAGGGAACTAAAGTGACTGGGTTGTTAGTGAAAATCTGGTTGTTATGGAGGCAAGAAGCCAAAGCTTCACTAATCGGAAGGATACTTGAATTAGTGAGTTGCCCCTCACTGGAGACTGGGACATCTGGTGAGAGATGTTGTCACAGCAGTTGTGTTATATTGTATCTGATGAGGCTGATAGTAGTGATTGATAAATTAAATAGTCTGGAGTGAATAACAACAAAACAGATCAGTCATCAATACAGACACACTTTGTATAAAAGCTCCGTTAGCAAATTAAGGACTTTGTTCTAGTAATTTTCACCACAATGACACTATGTGAAATTATGTCATTTTCAGACTCTACCGAGATAAAATATGGGAGGCTGGAGAAAGATGACCTCAAAAGAACTGGACACCATAGAACTGGGGACCAAAGGCGCGTCTGTGCTGAGGTGAATAAATCCACCACTTATAACCCTAAACAGAGACTCATGGTGCAAGTACATTGTCTGTTTTACCCTATTGCTCTCCTGTATACAGATTAAGACAGAAGTGCAGGACCAAATAATCTGTTTAGTATAAACTAGTCTTAAACTGAACTTCACCAATTTACTACTGCAGCAGACTTCACCCACAGACAAAACTGTCCCTTAGATCTTAAAACAGAGAGCTGGCTTTGAGGCTACTATTTACACGGCCTAGTGTTGGTTTGTGATCCAGCCCACAGAAAGAATGGAGCACTGAGAATCAGTAGCGTGGACATAGTTCTACCAGTGAGCTGGGAACAAAACTCATTAAGCTGCATGTGAGCTTTGCTCATGGATATATGACAACCTATGAGCCACAGGATTTAAATATTAGCATTCACAAATATTTACGAACCAAGGAAGCAAGAGTGTATTTAGTAGAGTGTATTTTAATGCTATTTATGTTTTTTAATAAAAAAAAAATATACAACTGGAAATCAATGCTTTCCTCTTCATTGACTCAATCTATAGCAAGGTATTATACAAGTTGAATCATTTCAAATACCATACTAAAAAAAAGAATGCAGAAGACTTCCATGCTATACAGAGACTTTCATGTTAAAATAGCTCAGTTTTAAAATTGTTTTGAAGTTACATGTCATACAGATTACTGAGAGGGGAGGAGGTTAACTGCAGTGTGACTAGCTCCCCTGGAAGATTTTCCAAACAAAAGAATAAAGCAGCTCATCACGGGAAGTTGTCTTTTTTTCCTCTAAACCAATAATTAGAAAGTACAATATTTCTAAGACAAAAAGTCTAATCTATTTTAGAAAAGAGCTAATGTTTGCTGCATATTTTTCATAGTACATTTAAATTACAGTTTTAATAAAATACATCTTTAGATCAAAGCTGAAAGAAGTTATCAGTAGTAGGCCAGTGTACTCCATGTTTTTTGTTCTTCCCAATGACGAATGGCTTATGTTGTTCAGATTTCCACAAACAATCTCATTCAGTAATGTTTTTCTTCTTCTAGTAAATATAAACAGGAGAACTGGTAGACAAAACAAGAACAAAATCCTTGTGTCCAATCACATGTTTAGACGTTCATCAGCTTGATGAGTTCATGCAGTTTTATATATAAGTCTAGAAATGGTAGTGCTGATGATGAAAGGTGGGTTTTGTTTTTCTTTTCTTTAAGATGACAGCATGAAATACAATATTTTGTTTATAACTCAGGCAAAAGAGAAAGCAAAACTTGACTGCTGAACACTTTTTGAGCAGTAAGCTAGGTCCGGGTGACTTATCATCATTGAAACTCTGATCTTTCTGGTCTTAGAACCAGAGCGGAGAGGAAGGACTTGCTAGGAAAGTTAGAAATGGATTTTATTTAAACCTGGTGGAAATTGTTTGAACTTTCCACTCTTGTAAACATCCACATAATGCCATGAAAAAGTTCATGAATATTGCATTTTTTTCCAGTTTTCTGTCTATACAAGTTTCTACTTGGATGAGGTTCCTAGAGGTAATGTAGCTCAGACACTCCGTGGTGCCCTCTCAAATTCATGGGTCCTCCTGTTCCTACCTTTTTTATTCTCTTGTAGGTGCTTCCACTTGTTCGTATTCACCTGCGCATTGGCAGGCCTTTGCCGGCGTTGTTTGCGGTCTCTTTTCCAAACCTGCTCACAGAACTCATCCATTGTGTTGAGATTCGGGTGATTGATTAACTGCATGAAGTCTCTATACCAGATCTTTTGACTGGGGGTCATGCTATTGGTAGCATCCTTGATCTTGGAGGCATCACCATCATCTTCTTTATGGAGCAGCTCTTCCAGGTGGTCAGTATCAATTACTTCCAGGGTCACTTTGAGCAAAGTTTGTATGAAGCCATGCTCCACAGCGTGACAAAAATAAATACCAGAGTCTCTCCTTTGAAGACTTCGTAGCAATAGTCCCTGTTCTGTCCGGATCAAGCGATCATCCACTTTTATCTGTTTTGCAAAAAAAAGTGGTAATTTCAATAGTTATCATTCACATATTTGCAAAATTATCCTCAAACCATATTTGTTCCTTAGTACTGGTCCTTTCAGCTGGTAAAACCTGGACAAAAATCCCCAAAACCACATGAATGAAAAACCTCTTGCCAGTCATCTTAGTTATGGAAGGCTCAAATACTCTGGAAAAACAACTGATGTGCTGAAAAGAGAGTTTGGAGGATTAAGAATTTACTCCTTGGTCCCTACTACCACTGAACAAAGATCTGTATCAGCTCTGTCAGATGGACTTGCTGGTAAGCTTACAGAAGATGCAAGCCTATAGTCAGCAGAGCCAACATGGATGCATTTGGTTATATTACCAAGGTCATATTTAGCATCTTTTAGTGAAACTTAGATACATTTGTGGGAAAGGTTCTCTGTCTTCTATTGTTCCTTCCCACAAAAGCACTTATGCATAGAATTGGTTTCTGCATAAGTGGAGAATTTACAAAGAAATAATAAAGATCAAATCTCAAAAAGTTAATAGTAAAAAAGCAGCTGTCCAAAATATTGTATTTTTCTGAATTAAGGAATATCTAGAAATACAATTTCATTATTTGAATGCACATGTTGCTGCAGACAGAAAGGGCACAGAACTGTTTGCTGCTCTCTCCATTAAGAATAAATTGTAAACAATTTACTACTTATACAAAGAAAGAAAACAGCAAAAATATCTAAAGCTACTAATGTAACTAAGTATTTAGTATAAGCTTAAAAAAAAAAAAATGCTTCAGAGTAGTTTGGGTATATTTACAAATACTTCAATGCAACAAACAAGTTTTTGTTTCATAGCTTGATCTCTCTAGCTACCAGAGTAGATTATTCTCTTAAGATATGTGTGACCTAGCTTGATATTAACATGACTTAAGAACCTGGGTGAGTGGTAACATAAGAATGTTGGTGACAAGAGGGGGAGGAAAATAAAGCATCAGCCTAGTGTAATGCAAGCAGGAAAAGTCATTTTTTTTTGCCTCTGTGAATGTTGCTTTTGATGAAAAAAATGTGTAAGTATTCATACCCCTGTGTCCACTCTAGTTCCTGGTTCCTCTTTCTGTCTCTGTCTTATCTGCAGTAAAGTCTTAAGAGCATGCAGCACATAGGAAATGCCCCTGTTTCAGTCAAACAGTATAATTAGATGAATGCAGTTAAGACCTTTTTTCAGAGGCTTTTTAAGGTCTTTGTAATATTTAAATTCAATATAATCCTTGTATGATACTTCAGGTGGCAATTAGAACAACAGAAATTATCAGATTCCAAAGAAATGCTGCTAAACTAAAATACAGATGGAAATTATTCTGGGAAAGACTCAGGTTTATGTATAACTTCATAGAGAAGATTAGTTGCATCTCTTAATTTTTTCTACCATACCTCTTCTTTGCGGTCATCATTTTGCTTCTGGAACTGCCAGTAGACAACGGCACGCTGAGATTTTGGACTGCACTCAAGAAAAGTGCTGCTATTCTCTACTCCATAGATAATCTTTTCCTCTAGAGTCTGAGCACTTGGGTTATCTGTAAAGCAAGAAAAAAATAATAATAAAATTACCAGGAAAGAAAAATCTTAACTGCCAAGTGATTTTGTTTCTTTAGAAACTAGGCCCCCTAAAGGTGTTTAAAGATAACAACCTTAAAAAAAAATATTTCCCCATATCAGTATGCCATTTGGAAAATTTCCATCAACATCTCTATCTTTGTAAGGATGCCTGATAGGTTTTTTTAATTATTATTTTTGTATTTAAAATTATAACAGCTGTTAAAATATGTGAAGTTAATGAATTTCATTGTGAAATTTTGTGGAAACCTCATTATTATTCCTCAAGAAAAACATGTAGGACATGACAAGAATTTTTAATAGCAAACTGTATGCAGTGAGAATACTCAGGTTGTAGTTGCAGAATGTCTGTAATGATGCCTCCTGGGCTCTATGATCATAATACTTTAGAGCAAAGCAATAAAACATGAGGCTATTTAAAAGTAGTATAACATGTTTAGATTATATGGCACTGAAGTTTGCTGAGGCTATTAATGACAAGGAATAATGTTTGTGAGGAAACAATCTTCAATTAATCATTTCCTCTCATACTAATATCATTTATGGAAATGTAATGAGGTTAATAAACCAGACATTATGGGAGGGGGGAAAAAGAAAGTTAAATAAATTACTTCCTTTTGTAACAACAATGTTTCAAGATATTCATCAACTTGCTGGAAATATCACATAGCTATAGGACTTATTTGGCATTTGAGTCTTCTCCAATACCACAGAGGCTGTAAGGCATCATATTTCAGCTCTCCACCTTAGCTCTTTAAAATGCTGTTATGGACTTAAGTGGCAACAGTACAATAATCCTGGAGAGTAGATGGGAAGGAAGGGGTTGGTAAACTATTTAACACTGTGTTGATCTCATGGGGTTTCCTGTTTCTTTGCCATTATTTGTAATTCCATTTTCCACTTTTGATCTTTAGCACTGGATATCTTTAAAGAACTTCTTTTGATATGTTTTAACAGGAAAATGATGTCTAATTAAAATCCTCTCAGACAAATCCTTTGTCAAGTTTTGTTTGCTTTCACTGTGCCTTTATCATATTGGCTATATTGTTTAGCAAACACAGTCTGCTTTCTAGAGGGCTGAGCCAAAGGTAAAAATAAAATTGAGCTCCTGGTTTATGTTGATACAGCAATCATATGTCTTTCCATAATGACTTGCAGCCCTAAGAGAGGATGGGAGAAGGGATTGGGGACAGAATAGGAACTAGTGCTTGCCCACTTCTGAGTAAGGAAACATCTAATGGCCTATTGACACTAAACAAATAGGGAATGGGTTTGCTTCCTCTCCTCCGCTGGACTGAGAACCTTTCCAGCAAGTAAGTGGAGTGCTAGATAAGCAACTAAGTGAAACAGCTTTTATGACATCTCTCAGAAACCACATCACTATGAAGGATGTCAGTACAGCTTTGGCCCAGGAAGTTGGGGAGCAATGGCAGAATGAATTAGAAAGCAAAGCAGCAAGAGAAGGGTAAGACAGCTGGAAGAGTATGTATCCAAGGATAGTGGAAAGGTCTGAGATGGAGCACGAGTTAATTTGTGTCAATGAAACAGAGAAACTGGAAGTATGTGAAGAGATTAACTGAGAATAACTAGAAGTGATAAGATAAAGATTGGAAATGGAAATCTTTAGCTGATAACTCATGGGTTCAGGTTCAACACTGTGAATTGCTGACCAATGTCCTCCTGTTTCAAGTCAGGCACTCTAATTTAGGAACAGAATTCATATGGCTGAGCAGGAAGTCAAAGATCCTCACATAGTTAACAAAAGGCACTTTGATATCTGAACTGGGATCCACATGTAGGGCTGCAGCATAAGGCAGTCAATAGGAAATGTCCCCTTTTATAGCCTGTGACACGTATGTTACTGCTCCAGCAATGCGTTTCTGTGAAACAGAGATTTACAGGCTTCCAGAAAAAAGGATGGAAACAGAGGGATTTCACTCTAGGATGCATGTACTATTTAAATTCCTCTCTCCTAGGCTCCATGAACATTGAATCATGGTTGCAGAACAGCCCAACTGCAACAATAACAACCCGAGAGTTTGGATGCTTGTATCGGAAGGAGAGTTATCAAGTCAATCTCCTAAGTCTAAGCAGACTTTGAGTCCTTTTCTCCCACATCCTAAATAGCTGATTTAACCAGCAGGTTACTAACTAGGTGGCTTGCAGCACCACTTGATTATATTTTCCTGAACACAATGTAGTCTAAATTAATTATACAGGAACAGAGTGCGTGGTCTCAACACTGGTCTCATTAGATCCAAGGGGACAGTCTTCTAGTTCCTAAATATCAGTACAAGGGACAAAAATGGATATTTCTTTGGCAAGGGTCCTACTGCCCATAAATAGTAGCATATTTTTAGGTATGTAAAGAAGTTTCTGCTGGAAAACTTAGGTACCTAGGATATCCTTAGTACCTAAGAAGCTAGTTACAAGTCTTCATGGAAGTTATCTTGAAGATGAGTGCTCTGATGCCATTTCAAACTTCTGAGTGTTTTCTTGGATCTGGTTCATGGTATTCTAGCATGTTAGAGATCACCAAGGAAAGTGGCAGAAGCCCCCTTTAAATTTTATCATAGTTCCAAAAAATATAATATGGGTAACAGTCATGCAATGAGAGAGGAAGGATTTAAGAGATGACTGAAATTCCATTTCCATGATTTAAGGGAGCAGAAGGCAGGTCCAGAAATGTCTATAAAGTTCATGTAATATTGAGCACGTGGACTGCAAGAAAGTAAGCAGAGTGATGGAATAATCATAGGATCAGAGTGCAGCTCTGGGATTGAGGAAGAAGCTGAAGAGACTAGAAGGAAGAATAAAAGTCTGGGAAGTTCAGAAGAGCAGCTGGAGGAATCAGAAAACTATAGTAGTAATGAAGTTACTTATGAAATTCAACCCAAAATCCTGTCTGAGAGCTGCAGTTCCCAAAACGAACCCAACAGCGGTATCAGTTTACTAACCTGATAAATATCCTTTAAATACATATTTTCTGACATAACCGAAGAAGTACAAAAGGCTAAGTACTCATACCAAGATTACTCTGAAGATGAATGAATCTCATGACACAGTTAAATTCAGAGTGAATCTTTGAGCTTCCCCTGGGGTAAATCACCTAAAAAAAAGCTGCCTCTTCATTTACAAATTCTTCATAGCACTAGTATGTTATGCTTAAAAAAAATGTACTTTAGCTTAGGTGATCATGCTTTTAAATTTAAGCATTAATGTCTGGTCAAACACCTGTACAGCTAAGGATTCTCAGCTCCCTCTAATGTTGCTGTGTAGTCATTAAATACTACTTCTTATACATTTGCACAAAAGGGCAACTGAAACCTTAATAAAAGCATTATTGCTTCAGAGTGATATGGAAGTAAGTTTCTGCAATGTCTTTAAAAGTGAGATGTACACTAAGAGATTGTTCTTTTTTCTTGTTTCCATTTATTCATATGGAGAATCAACTGGCAGTTATTGGAATGCGTAAACAAGTAGTAAATGATTGCTGGAGCTTATTTTTGGCTATTGGCAAAGTCAATTCTTCATCTGTTGTCCAAGAAACTACTAGTCATAACTAAGGAAACTCAGCATAAGTTGGCATAGGAAGCCTATGGGCCATGCAGCTGTCTGTATAACGCATGATAACATGCAAATGGCAAGTAAATAAAGGAAAATTTCATAGATTTACAACTCAGAATTAATTTAGAGAAAATTTAACTCAAGAACAATCTAAAAAAACCACATTAAATAAAGTATTTTGACAGTGCATCCTTAAAGTCCAGGATCTACAACTGCATTCCCTCAGTATTTTTTGTAAGTTACTGTTTCTTCTAATCACGCTGTCTCCATTTCACCATTAAGTAAAATTTACAGTGATATCTTCTCTTATACTTTGCTCATTTTGACAAAGCAGTATTAAAGCTCCTCATGATCAGGTGTACCATATAATAGCTTTTTCCTGACCTTGAGTTCTCATGATAGTTGTCATGAAAAAACTGCACTGAATTACCCTCTTCCCTTTGGACATATCTTTTCAGATAAATATGCTTACCAAATATGGGAAGATATAAAAAACAAAGTGTTTTGAAATCCTTTTCTTGCCTATGAAGATAAAGAACAGACCTACAATTGTATAAAGCACAACTAGCAAGGGTAAGAGAACGTTAAAAAAACTGGACATGTGGTAGCCCGGGTCATCATTTTACTCCTGAGTGAAATGTCCAGATAGTAAAAAGGTAAAGCTAAGACATGTTTCTGCTGGTAATAAAATCCACATTTTGTGCCTGGTGAAATTTTCCTTTTGGGGAACTGAGAATGTCACCTCAACCCCAATATATGGATGGTCTCATCTGTGCTGCATAAGCACTACTAGGTATCATGCAATTGCGAGTTTGTGAACTTTCTACTAGTCCACATAGTAGACTAGTTTAAATCATAGTCCACATAGTTTAAATCTAAACTAGTTGTACATTCATGAGTTCTCAAAATGTGACAACTGCATATTGATCACAGTTCATTCATGCACTTTTCCAAATCTTTTTCCCCTCTGAGTAGCTTGGTTTAAATCTGACAATCAAGAAGTAAAAAGAAAAGCTAGAGTAAGGTTAGCTGTGAGTTTCAAATGATTGAAAAGGAAGATAGAGAAAATTATTACTGAAACATAGTGGTGGTGAATTATAGCTAACACAAAAGTACAATTTTGTACTATTTATCGTTCCTGCTATTACAAGGACTGGAAGGACATGAGGGTTTTGAGGTATCTCAATTTTCAGCCACCTCTTCTTCGTTTATCCCAGAAAGCTGTCCAGCGGTTTAACTGTTATTATAGACGTACCACAAACATGAGTAATCATTTTATTCCAGCAGGGGGAAGTATTGCATAAGTGTTCTCTTCACTTACAGCAAAATGGACATTTTTCATTTTCTGAGTGAAGATCTGAGGAGTTTGGCAACAAATTAGTAACTGTGAGAAGTTTATCAGCCAAACAATTAAAGAAAGAAAGATCTGTTCAATATACTGTGAAAATGAAAACGAAACAATCAACGAAAAACAAACCCAAAAGATGTCAAAGAAAATCTATGTTGAAAGCACATGGGACAGGCCTACTGCAAGGAACATCCTGATCTGAAAGGCTGTTACTGCGGTACCTACAACAAAGACTATTTCATATTTAGCCAAGGTAGTTAATTATGCGCTGTTCTGAAGGAGATATGACTTTTCTGATACACTATGCCGAGCCTGATGGTATGGAATTATCAGGTAAGCAAAGCAGAAAAATGAAAATGCTTAAAATCGTTAACTTGAGGGGGGGAGGGAAAAAAAAAATATAAGTCTTTATATAACAGTCTTTAGTGTCTGATCCAGGCCATTGTAAGCAATCTAAATTAGGATAATGATGTATTATATTAATCTTTCCCAGATGTTCAAGACAATTTCACCAACAAATCATTCATGTGCTTCCTACTCTACTCATGCACAGTCTGTAAATTACATACAAATTAGTTGTACTTCAGTCATACCCATAACTCACCATGATGCTGCAGGTCTGAGCAGTGGGTAAGCGGGTCTCCATTTCGGATGTCTTGGCGTCTAGTACGTCTGCAAATATCATATTTGAAAACTGTTAGTGACCTTCTCAGTGGTCAGCATTCACATTTGCCCTGACTAAAGAGCAACAAATGGAACATAT